GGGCACGGGGCTAGCAGGGAGATCCCTGCCCTCTGAAACGCTGAGCTGCAGATTGAGCTGTAATTGCTCTTTCTGAAGTGGGTGGCTTCACAAAGAACACTGCAATGTGAGGTGCTCTGCAGCTGACGGCTCAGACGTAATTCCGTGGGCTTGTCTACACTTGACAGCAACCTAGGTTAAGGAAGGGTGTGATTTTGCAAGTGGAAAACTCCATATTTAGGAATAACCAGGTGAAACCAAGCAGGAGAAAGGTAGCCTTGTTCTGGAGTTACTGCTCCAAAGAAAGCAAAATAGTTCCACAAACCTGTTGTCTGTGAGGGAGACGAGGGGCAGGGAGAGATGTCTGGTCTCCTGCACACAGAGCCCCAGCACCTCCATCGCTTGTGCAACACCCACCTGCCCCGACAGCTTCTCCCTGGAGAGTGTTTGTCGTTGGGCAACACGTGCAGAGCAGTTTGCTGGGACGAGGCTCCGTGGCCAGGCACAGCACGGGGTGCCCAATTCCTGCGTCCCTGCGGAGAAGCTGCTTTAAAGCTCTGGAGAAGTTCCCAGGTTCGAGGCACTGGCAGCCCCTCGGGCAGAGCTTGCAGCCATCGTGAGGAATCCTGCCGTGGGCTGAGCGAGGGTGTCCGTGGGGAGCTGGGCAGGCAGATCTCGCGGGGTGCCAGTGGACAAGCACCCACAAGGCATGTGCATGGTGCCGAGTCAGAATCTTCATGCAAAGAATCCTCCCTTTGGTCCACATTTACCTGTTGCTTCCCAGGAAGGAGCTCAGCTGTGTGCTGATGTGTCCGGGTCTCTCTGAGTGGTGCCAAGGTGCTCCAGCTGTGAACTAGAGCATGGAGTGTGAACTGAAGCAAGGTTCGCTCCAGGCCCCGACGTCTGCAGGCTCTTTGGGAAGCGTGTGCAGCCCCAGAGCAGGAGCAGAGTGCGCAGAGACTGGCTGGAGGGGGCAGGTTTGTGCAGGGACATCTTGGGCAGCACAGGCTGATCCTGACCCACACCACCCCGATCTCAGCAGGTGAAGGAGGCCCTCAGACCAGCACCATGACAGAGTGCTTCGACTGTGACAACTGCAAGGAGTCCTTGTATGGGCGCAAGTACATCCAGATGGACAACGGCCCGTACTGCATCCCCTGCTATGACGCTCACTTCGCCAACACCTGTGACGAGTGCAAGGAGCTGATCGGCCACGACTGCAGGGTGAGTGTGGGGCGCTGTGCCAGGCAGGGCGGGCGCCAGGGCACCGGCTCCCTCCTCACCTCGGCTGTGCTCCCAGGAGCTGTACTATGAGGACCGACACTACCACGAGCACTGCTTCCGTTGCTTCCGCTGCGACCGCTCTCTGGCTGACGAGCCTTTCACCTGCCAGGGCGAGGAGCTGCTGTGCAACGACTGCTACTGCAGCGAGTTCTCCTCCAAATGCGTTGCCTGCGAGAAGACTGTCATGCCAGGTAGGAGCAGGCGGGCTCGGGCACTGCAGTTTGTTCCCTATCCCTTGGTGTTGGCTGGAGCTGCAGGTGCAGCACGAGAGCAGCAAAGAAGAGAGACAGGTCTCTGCTCTCCTGCCCTCCTGTGACTGCACAGAGAGGCCTTGACCCTTTGCTTGTATGGCAAGACAGCAGGACCCCAAGCTGTGATCACCACAGCAGCCCCATCTGTCTGTTCCCCTTTTTCATGAGGTAGTGAATGGGGGAGGAGATAACAAAGGGTTTCCTGGGCATTTTCTGCAGTGTGCTGGCAAGAGAAGGAATGACGAGATGGCCTGAGGCAAAGGTGTGTGCGTCTTTGCTTGGCCATTTTGGCACCATCTTCAGACATCATAGGTTACATCAGCACCTCTGCCACAGCCTGTGTGCCAGTGCTGGGGACGTGTTCCCACAGCCCTCCCCTTGTGGCTGGGCCCCCCTTAGCAGCAGCCTGTGGTTCTGCACTACCATGCGGAGGGCAGGCACAGAGCTGGGTGTGCAGGACCACAGTTCATCCTGCCCCGCACCCGTTCACGTGTGCTGCTCCCCTCAGTCACTGCAGGGCTCTCTCTGCAGGCTCCCGTAAGCTGGAATACAACGGACAGACCTGGCACGAGCATTGCTTCATATGCAGCAGCTGCCAGCAGCCCATTGGGTCACGGTCCTTCATCCCAGACAAGAAGGATTATTACTGTGTCCCCTGCTATGAGAGCAAGTTTGCTCCTCGCTGCACTCGCTGCAAAAAGGTATGTGTGGCCTGACAGCCCAGAGCCCTCAGATCTGGTCCAGGGAGCTCCCTGCTCCTGCCTGAGCCTCGGCAGGGGAGGGCTCAGGTGCCAGCACCCTGGCTGGGCTGTGTCCAGTATGTGCTCTCATCCTGCAGACCCTGACTAAGGGAGGAGTGACCTACCGGGATGAGCCCTGGCACAAGGAGTGCTTTGTCTGCACGGGCTGCAAGACCCCCTTGGCTGGGCAGCAGTTCACCTCCCAGGACGACAACCCTTACTGCATCAAGTGCTTTGGGAACCTCTATGCCAAGAAGTGCAGTGCCTGCACAAAACCCATCACAGGTGAGCAGAGCAGCTCTCTGAGGTGCCCCATGAGGAAGGAGCTCTTTGTTGCAGTTGTCCTGGGGCCACTTGTGTCTCTTTGTCTGCATCTTTCAAAGTGGTGAACTGTGTCCCATGGGAGGAATTCCCTCTGCACACGGGTAAAGGCTCCCAAAGTGACCCCTCAAAGCATGATCTCGTGTCTCTAGCTTGCCTTGTTTGATACTGGCTGCCATGTCCTGTGGAAAGATTGCCCACAGACAGGGAAAGCCATGGACTTCAGCCATATCTGGAGCAGCACCTGCAGCAGGGAAGTCTGGACCTGCCATGCCTGCCTAAGGCAGGGGAAGCATAGGGTCCTCTTCTATAGAACCTCTGAGAGAGTCTGGCCTCCTTCCTGCTCTCCATGACTCGACCTTCCCCCCTGCAACTCCCAGTCTCTTGCTGCAGGCAGGAGAAGCCATGAATCAGCCAGTGACTCAGAGGATGATTCTGGCTGAAGGCAGCCCCCAGGCACCCACTTCCCCTCTGGTCCTTATCAGGTTGTGGCAGTCCTGGGTAGAAGGGGGTCACAGCCCACCAATCCAACCACTGCCAGCAGGGGAAGTAAGCTCCTGCAGAGCCTCTGCTGGAGCCCAGGCCTGGGCTGGTGGCAGGAGGGCTCTTCCCAGGATTCCAGTAGCAGTGCCCTGTGTCCACTGTGATGGTGCAGGTCCAAGTCCCTGCTCCTCCCCAGGGATTCTGGTGTGAAGACCTGACCTGGAGATGAACAGGCCAGGGCTCAGTCTGTGTGGGGAGCTCAGCTCAGCTTCCCCAGGGCTCTGAGGCTGTGCTCTGCCCTCCTGCAGGCTTCGGGGGCGGCAAATACGTCTCCTTCGAGGACCGTCACTGGCACCACGACTGCTTCAACTGTGCCCGCTGCAGCACCTCCCTGGTGGGGAAAGGCTTCATCCCCGACAACGACCAGATCCTGTGCCGCGACTGCAGCAGCGACCTATGAGCCTCCGAGGGCACCACGGGCAGGGCCTTCCTCTGTTCTTCAGGGCCTTCGTGCCAGCTCCTCCAGCAGCGTTTCAGGGGCAGGGCACAAGGCACGGGGGATGGGGGCTGACCCCGAACTGTGGTGTGTTCAGGGGGCTGCTGTGCCCCTCCCTGAGGGCTAGAGTATGATGTGCTATGGCTCTGTGCAGAGTCAAAGCTGAATAAAGTTGAAAAAGGAGCTTCAAGACCCCCCATTATTTACTCTTTCCTTTTGCTTCCAGTCTGACCAGGCACGAGCAAAGGGCGGCAGCAGCTTCCGTGCTGGGTGCTGGATCTGCACGCTGGCAGCATGTATTTGTCTCCTGGCACAGTGCTGACTTTCCTTCTTTCCCTGTGTGCTTCCCTCGCTCTGTGGGACACGAGGCAGCAGCTTCAGGGCCGTGTGGCTCGGCCATGCTGGCCTGCATCACAGCTGGCTTTGCGCAGCCCGTTCAGCTGAGCCAGGCATGAAGGGCACTCTGCGCTATGTGGGAGGTTTGGAGACGTCAGACTGGAGCATGGCCAGCACAGCATGTGTCCTGCCAGATGGATCCCCCCTGGAATTCTATAGCACCTGTTTTCAGGCTCAGCACGTCCGTGGAGGTGCTCTCTTGGCTGTGGGTGAGGAGCTCGGGTCACTCACAGGTACAGGGCGTTCTGCCCACCCCCACATCCCTCCCCACCCCATTCCTGTCCACGGGGCCGTGACCTCCTGCAGCCACCGCGGCTGAACTGGAGCACCCCGAGACCTGCCCGGCCAAGCCCCAGAGAGGGGTGTGCTGGGAGCACTGAGGGCTCTATCCCTGCTCCATCCATCCCAGGCTCACACGAGGCCTCGAGCCATCCTTGCCCCATGGCTGCGCTGCCCTGGGCCCTGCCAAGGCCCCTCTGCAGTGGGATGCTCCCACCTGCCTTGTCTCTACATCCCTTCTGCTTCTGTCTCACTGGGACACTCGCTGACCCTGCTTTCCTGCTTAGTCAGCCATGTGCTCTTCTGAAAGCCTCTTCTTGTGCATTTTGTCCCTTTTGTACTCGTTTGTCAAGAATATCTGTCATTTTGTACCCAACTGCAGATGAAGTGGCTAGGCCCCACCCAGTCTTCACTTAGGAACAGAAAATGTTATGCGTGTTGAAGTGTTATGAACTCTGTATTAAGACTGTTGTTGAACCGTCGTTTGGAAGCTTTGATGCTGGCAAATCAGAGTTTGTGTTTGCTATTCTGAGGAGCTTGAAGCCGTCTCCAGAAGGAATTGTCCTAAACCTCAGCCTTCTCTGTATTTCCTACAGCTTTATACAATAAACTGTTTTGGTGACGCTGGCTCTCCTGTGTCTCTCAAACAGCAGGCACAGGGCAGAGCGCAGTCTGAGTCAGCAGTGGGCTCTGCTCAGCCTTGTCTTGCCCCTAATCCACTCCTGGGGACTGCCGACCTCGGCAGTGCTCATGCCTCCCTTCCCAAACCACAGGCATCAGCTGTGGCAGTGCCGCGGGCCGTGGCAGAGGAGCAGCAGCTCCCTCCTCCTGCTGCTGTGTCCAGGCAGGCGGTTCCCCAGGACAGGCCCCAGCCGGGCTCGGGGCGGTGCTGCACAGCCACGCGCGGTGCC